CGAAAAACCAAATTAATCTGTTTAATGTAAATCTTTAGGATTTTCTTTACCTTTGTTTCATAACAGGATTGAGCTTTGAATATTAAAAAATAAACAAATAATTAGAGAAGAAAGTGACAAACAAAAAGAAAAGTGAATTGTAGAGAACTATAACATAGAGATATATAACACATGCATGTCACAGCAGTCATTTTGCAAATTAAGGGAAATAGTAAAAGTATGTTAGCGTATACTCTCCAAACAGATATTGGATGGAATGACACAACTGTGAACGAATATCAAATCCAGTCACTTAGTTTGTTAGAAGCCATCAACTAAAAAGATGAAAAAAAAACATATTATATGACAAAAATGAAAAGGAAATTTTGCGAATTGAAGGGAAATAGTAAAAGTAAATTTGGTTCGATTTCCTTAGTTCACCGCAGACCCCACGTACTGGTGAAGGAGGAGGAGATAGTGTAAATTTGGTTCGATTTCCTTCCAATCACCAAGAAACGTGGACCAAAACATATGACTTCGTGTGTGTTATTATTGAGCTACTGTGTGAGTTAACCTAATAAAGGGCATATCTTTGACTAAACCACAATCAAGAAAGGTGATAGAGATGCAAGTATTATTGAGGATTAATGGCAAAGGAGATTTACAATTTGGAGACAATAAAAATTCATAAGAAAAAGTTCGTATGATATGATGAAAAAACCATCAAGTAGCTCTCATACACACATGGGGACTTGAGAAGAAGATTCCTTGACAAAAGAAAAAATGGAACCAAATATATACGTACGTAACGTACCAATAATTTATTCACTTTGGCCTTTTGTGGTAATAGCTATACGACTTATTCCGATGGCTAAACGCACTTTTTTGGGACGCAAACGCAAAAAAGAATATAGATGGAAGAATCTTTAGGATCTCATGATCAATCAATGGAGAGAACTAATTGGAAGACTTATTGCTGGAACTATCCAGTTTTGTATTCTCAGAAATCTTAACTTGAGATCCAAGCCGATGGTTGAATGAATAGCTTCTTCCGGACTCATGAACATAATTAGAGTAGGGGTTACTAAAACTATGGTCGACCTCTGAAGAATGTGTCGCAACCTCTGCATTATTTAAGAACATATCCTCTGAAGCACTTAAAGTATAAGATGACTGAGCATTTGTCTCAATAGCTATCATGTGATCTGCTACACCATGCTTTTCATGGACAAAAGCACTTAGTTTTGCACTAGCAGGAACAAAAACCGGGGCCAAAGGATCCAGCTTTTAAGGCATTTGAAAACTGATTGCTAATATCCAAAATGCTCATAGCCTTGGAAACACTATCTTGAGATACTAAACCCAAACTTTCATCTGCATCGTGGATCAGGATCCCTGTTCTGTTCTTTTGGCCGGAATCTTGTGGAATCTCTGCTTCAGAAGGATCGGTAATGCTGAACTCTCCTGATGATGGTGGAAAGGTTGAAGACAGAGACCTTTTCAAAGACGAAGAACTGTTTTCTTCAAATTCCTTCTCGTTCTTGTCTAGGTTCTTTTTAGCGCTGGATGGTATAAACTGAGGTGCCAAAGGATTCAATCGATAAAGACTATTTAGATCCTCGCTAGAACGCCTGAAACTCAATGACATGGTACCTGATGCTGCAGTATTGTGAGACTGTATTCCTCTCCAGCAAGGAGAATCCACCTCAACGTCATCTTGGTCAGAAAGTATAAAAGATTTCGACATTTTGGCAAAGAATGGACTAGAATTGCTTCCATTAATATCTTTCCTCTCCATAACTTTTCCCGAACAAGCTGACTTTTCCTTGGCGAAGGGAAGCCATCCCTCTGCTTCATCATCACCAGAGTTACCATTAGATACCACAACATTCTTCGCCACTGGAGTTATACTATTACCTCCAAACCGATGGTGGAAACTGCTGAGGTAGTCCCTCCTTGAGCACAGTAACATTTGAGTCAAAATACCTTGAGGAAGGCGAAACTCGAGGCTTAGAATCCACACACTTCAATTCAGACTCAAGAAAATCTGGGAGCTTGAGAAATGAATCAGAATTTTCACCCTTCCTTATTTCCAAATCGAACCTCTGGTGTTTCACAGACCGTGCCAAATCTCCCTTTGTCCCTAACCCATATTTCACAGACAGACCACAATAACATTCTTCAGCTACACGAACTCCACAGAACAAAAATTCACAAATGTCAAATAAAGAAACACAGAACAGTATCCACAAAATCTCAATTCCTATTAACACTACAAATTGAAAACCAATTACACTCAAATTGGACCAGTACAATACTCTACAACATAGAAACGACATATCGCTATTATTCAATCTGTATACTTTTTTTGTAAGTGGAGAGAGAGAGAGAAATCAGAAATGTGTTTATCAAATCACACATATGAGAATCTTAATCAAAAAGTTATGTAGTGAAACTCCACATGTGGATGTTTCCATCTCTATCACCAGTAATAATGCCACCATTTGGATGTGTTGCAAAATCAACTACAGCAGCTTTTGAGAAACGCTTTCCCCTTCTTATAAGCCTGCACAGACACAAGACATATTAAGATTTGTGAAAAAGTAGAACAAGAGAATGAAGATGGAAATAATGAGAAAAGGACGATTTATTCCCCAACTATATGTAATTGACACTTTTATTCCCCAACTATGAGGGTTACAATTTTATTCCCCAACTAATCATTGAGTATACAAATTGAGGATTAAAAGAGAATAAACTTAAACATAAAACAGAAATTGTTAAGTTTAATATCAGTCTAATTTTTTAGGTTTCGTTTTAATAACCTTGAGCTCGATGTTCTTCCCAAAATGTAGAACATAAACCCTAAACTAATTTCTACTTAGTGTGTAGGCGATTTGCTAAAGAAAAACTCAAAATCAT